GGGGCAGGACAGGGCCCCATCACAGCACACCTTCACACACACACCCCCTAGAGGGAATCTCAGAACCTCCCAATCCAGTTCCACTCAGGACTCCGTGGCTCGGCCCGGGGATTCTGCTCCGTGAGAATGTCTGCCAGGCCCGCACGTTAAAAACTCTGGATGGGTCTCTGTTCTAGTGGCTTCACTTTCCTCAGTTTTCACAGAAAATCACCAGGACGTGGAACTACCTAAAATACCTTTCTATTTTTGCGTTTTGGTTGCTTAACCCTGTGCTTCAAAATATATATATAGGTATGAGCCACGTGCAGTCAGGGGCGCATACCTGTGATCCCAGCTTCTGGGGAGGCTGAGGCAGGAGGATGGCAAGTTCAAGACCAGCCTCTGCAACTTAGCAGAGACCCTGTCTCAAAATCAAAAAAGATATAAAGGGCTGGGATGTGGCTCAGGTGTCAAATGCCCCTGGGTTCAATCCCTGGTACCAAAAAAAAGAAAAAGAAAAGAAAATCCATGTATATAGACAGAGAAACACTTTTAAGAACCAAATAAATAGCAACCCCAATACATCTAGACCTGGGTGCTGTTGACGTGGGGTCATGGGTCATCTAGTGGCACCCCTGGGCTCTACCTGCTAGATGCCAGTGGCATCTCCCCCACCCCCCACGCCAATGCAAAATGGCTCCAGACTTTGCCCAATATCCCCTTGGGTTCGAAACTGCTCCCAGCTCAGAACCGCTGCTCAGGATGAAGAATCAAGGGCTGGGGACACCCCCCCCATCCCCTTCCCGCGCCCTCCTGGGCAGAATCCTCAGCAGCCAGGGGCAAGGGGCAGCTGTCCGTCAACACCAGCCCTGGCCAGGCCCGCGTGTGCCCCGTGTGAACTGTGGGCAAGCGTGTGCGCGTGCAAGGTGCCCAGGCGTGTCCCCCGGTAATGCTCTTATCTCCCTCTCCCACCCTGGGCATTATGAGCATTCATCACAATAATTGACGCGGATGAAATTAGCGCTTCCTGCAATGTCGGCCAGATAAACTCCGCTGAATATTGATTTCACACAAAGAAAATGACATGTGCTTGGGCCTCACCCTTTATCTGGCCGGGCCAGGGAACAGGCAGGAGGGGGACAGGGCCGGCCTCCGCTGGTGCAGACGCGGCCATAAGAATGACTTTTATCTCCTCTCGCACAAGAGACAAGGGGAGATAAGGAGAGAAAGCGCGGCCCTGGGCGCTGGGGAAATCTGCAGAAGGCGTGGGACAGTCCTCCGGGGACCTCGGGGACCAGGGCTGATGAATTCAGAGGAGGAAGAGCTGAGGAGAGCAGGATGGTGCTGGGGACGAGGGGCCGTGAGGGCCGCAGTCTCGGGCTCACAGCCTGTCCCTAAGACTCAGGTGACCACCCAGCCTGGCTAGCCGGGGGCGGAGGGCTTGCCAGGACAGCCGGTCACCCACGTTGTAGCTGTGTGCCTCGGCTTCCTCATCTGTCCACCTGAGAGGGATGAGGCCCCCCTCCCTGGCCTCCCAGGTGGAGGGAGGCTAGAGGTCCCTGGACTCCTGTGCTATGGCATCCGGCAGTCACAGGGACAGGGGCTTGCAAAGCAGGACTTCCTTATTCTTCCATCAGCCTGGGCTGGAAAGCCTCTGAGATGCCCAGGGAAGCAGGAAATTTTAAGACAGGGTCTTGCTAAGTTGCTGAGGCTGGCCTCGAACTTGCGATCCTCCTGCCTCAGCCTCCAAAGTCGCTGGGATCACGGGCCTGTGTCACCACACGCAGCAGGAAAGCACTTATTTTCCTGAGAATCTCAGGTTTATTTTGCTGAGGATCTGCCATGTGCCAGGCATGTGCTAGCAGCCACCGCCAGGCACTAGCTGCCCCTTCCCCACTTAGTCCCCTTCGCTGGAGAGTCCCCTTCACTAAACACCTGGGCACAGGAAAGAAGCCCCTGGCCTCCAGGTCCACTGCAGGGCAGGGTCACTGCCACTCCTGAGTCACTGCTGGGACCCTCGCAGCCCGTGGGTCCCTGGGCAAAGCCTCTCAGGGTCTCACCTGGTCTTGTCCTGCCTGCCGGACTCACGAGGAGGACAAAGTATGGCAAGTAGCCAGCAGGAGGTGGGGGAGGCCCTGGGCCTCACCCGGGCACTGTTGGGTGTGCATGTGCCCATCCGCACTGTCCTTGACCCTTGGAGACGCTCCCAGAAGAGAGGAAGTGACATGGCCGGGTGACAGGGCCGGACAATGGCAGAGATGGGACCAGCCGTGCCGGGCTCCGCAGCCACAGCCTGCCCTGCTTGGCCTCCCTCAGAGGCCGTCCTAGGAGGCCGCTGTCCCCATTGGACAGTCCAACCAGCCTGGGGGACCTGTCCTGCTGCATCCTGGGGGACCTGTCCTGCTGCATCCTGGGGGACCTGTCCCAGGATTCACTTCCTCCCCTCAGCAGTGGGGACCACATCCCACCTCCCCACATGTGGGGGAGGACTCATCACCCAAGGAGACGTGCTGGGGACATGGGGATCACAAGTCCAGGTACAGTGCCCACAGAGTGGGGGGTGCCGGGGTCAGAGAGCGGGGCTGGGAGTGGAACCCAGCGCCACCTCGGCTAAGAGACCCCATGGCAGCGTCTCCGGTGCCCCTGGCCTGGCCAGGCCTCGCCCACAGGGCACCCCGGGCTCCCAGACAGAGAGGCGCTGGGTGCCCGCGGCCCTTCCTGGGCAGCTCCACCCCCTGGCCATTCCCCACTCAGTGCCTGTGTCCCCATGGGGGGCCGTGTGGGGCTCGGGCTAATTGCAAATCATTTCTCAGGGCTCCCTGCTGTTCAGCTAAATTCACTGGAACTAATGTGTCCTGAAACAAATTTCACAGAAGAGCCGGGCGATTACATGATATTTAGTTCCCCTTCCCGCGTCCCCCGCCCGAGGCAGGGCCGGGGCCCAGAGGACTGGGGCAGCAGGGGCGGCGTGGACGCTGGGTGTGTTCTCAGGGCCCGACCTCCCTCCTGCCCACTCTGAACCCCTACCCTGTCCAACCCCCTCCCTGTACCTTCTGTTCCCAGATCTTGCCACTGTTCTCGCGGTGCCCATCAGAGCCCCCTCCCGGCTCCCAGCATCTCTGTCCTCTCGGAGACATGTCAGTGTCACGGGAAACGCCAGCACTGGCTCTGAAATCAGACATCTTGGGTTGGAATCTCACCTCCAGCGCTGACCAGCTGTGTGTCCTTAGGAAAGTCTCTTCGCCTCTCTGAGCCGTTGTTTCCTAATCCCTCCCATGAGGATCCCACTTACCTGATTGGCATCAGCTGTTGGGAAGATTGGATGAAATGACACGGGTAATACGTTTCTCGTGGGTCCAGCACATAGTGGGCCTTCCATAAATGTTGATTCCCCCTCTGGCACCTACTTCAAGATGATCTGTTCAAAGGACAGTTTCAGGATTCATTCAAAACAAGAGGAATCGGAAGGCAGAGGCCCAGCCTCCACCTCCCAAGCAAGCCTCCAACCAGCCCCATCTCTGCTGGCCTGGAAATTCCACCTTCCACCTCCCTCATTCCAGCTCCCCGAAGTTGGGGACATGATCCCTCGCGGCCTACAGGGAACCTCAACACCGCTGACTCAGGCCTGTCGGGGCAGCAAGGTCCAGGGGTCAACCCAGCGCCTCCTAGGCCCTGGGCCCTCTATTGCACCTCAGGGAGCACCTTCAGGAGCAGGGCCTGGGGGCTCTTTGTGGCCCCTGGTACGAGCAGCTCCTAATAAATAAACGAATCAGAGCGGGCAGCGGGCGGCCAGCCTCACCCCGCACCACGGGCCCTTGTTCATTTAACCTCCATCATTCAGAATGAAGAGCGCTTCACTACTGCCCTCACTTTACAGAGGAAACGGAGGCTCAGAGAGGGAAAGCCACTATCCCAGCATCACACAGCCTGCCATAGCCAGGATTCAACCCCGGGGACCGCTAAACCCACGTTCTGAGACTCACGGTTTATGGTTGCGGGGGAGGAAGGAAGGTTCACAGACTCCTCCGGCCCCGTTATCCGGCACCGTGACCTCCAGACCTCAGAGGATTCCCCTGATCCCCGAGGCTCCGCCATGGCTGCCGGAGAGCCAGGTCTCTGACACTCGGTCTGATCTCTGCCCATCACTGTCACTTGTGTTCCCAAGCTTCCCTTCAGCGGGGCTCCTGGTCCCCATTCCCTGCCAGGGATAGGATGGGGCTGCCACCCCTTATCAGCCCCCTGAACACACGCACAGGAGGGAGTTGTCTCCTGCGACCTGCGTGCCCTTGGCTAAATGAATGCAGTGTCCGTCCAGATCATTCCAAAGCCATAAAGATGACGGGGACAGGGGAGGCGCAGGGCAGGCCGTGGCGCAGGAGGAGATTACAAAACAGGCGGAGCCGCGCTGCGCCTTATCTAACCCGCAGCAGGCCTGGCTGGGGGCTGTGGCTCCACGGGAGGGGGCACCCGGCCCGCGCAGGGCAGCGGGGCCCCAGAGGACACCCCACCAGCCGGGCGCTGGGAGCTCTGCGAAGGGACGGCAGTCGGGGAGGCATCCGCAGCGGTGGCGAGCTAAGGTACCCCAAGAGCCGTCCCCAAGACGGAGGGCTGGGGGACTGCCAGCTCAGCCAGGGAGAGACGGTGGCCCGAGACGCTGAGGTGGCCGCTGGACAATTTTTATAAATATTGACTCAGAGAGGGCCAGGAAGGACCCAGCAGCCCCAGAGGACGGCAGGGAGGTGGACAGGAGAGGACCGTCCCCCACCAGCTCTGCCCGGCCACGTCCTCCCCGTTTTACAGATGGGCAAACGGAAGACTCCTTTGGTCACTTCCCTGACGATGGCAGGAGCAGAGAGCAAAGGACAGAGAAGCCACATGGGGCCACGCACCAGCTGGGGGCCTGGAAGGACCTGGCCTGGAAGCCCTCATGGCCTTCCTGCTGGGCTTGGAGGCCCCCGGCCCTTGGAGCCTCCTCCTCTGGAGGAAATCGGGGGTCCCTGCCTTTCAGGGTCGCTGTCGGGGTTAAATGAGATAATACGGCTAATTTTGTTCCTTCCCAAGAGTCACACACACATCTCGGTGCTGGTGTGAAACTTCCCGCCCCTCCCTTGGTGAGTTGCCAGGGTGGGGTGCAGGGACAGATCCATGTCCTGAATCTTTGAGGGTCTGACATTTCCTTCAAGGGCCTGGCAAGTGAGCCCTTGGGGACTCTGTGGCTGGGGCAGCAGAGGAGAGAGTCTTCCCTCAGCTGCTGGTCGGTCATCCTCCTATCAAGAGATGGAAAACACAAATCCCAACAATGAAGGGCTACTGACCAGATGCCCACCTCATTGTAGGGGTCAGATCCCAACACCTTCCAGGGACAGAAGTGCCCAAGAGAATCAGTCCAGTATTCAACAGATTCAACCTTGCCTTAAAATCGTGAATGACATAAAAACAATTGTGATCCATACATAAATGTATCTCTCTCTCTCTCTCTCTTATGTGTGTGTGTGTGAATGTGTGTGCATTTGGAACCAAATCTGCTTTATTTGTACCAACCATATGTGCTGTGTGACCTTGGGCAAGTTACTTAAACGCTCTGTGCGTCTGTTTCCCCAGCTGTAAATGAAGTTAGCACTAACAACCTCCCAGAGTGACTGTGAAGACAGTGACTTAAAAGGTCCTTAGGACTCTGCCCAGCACACAGTGATGTGTCACCTAGGTGTCTGTGCTACTTGTCCCCACCAAAGCCCAGTGGCTTGTGTCTGAGGGCAGGGGACATCTGAGGAATCCAGGCTAGACGCACAAGGTCACTTTCTGGGACTGGGCCCAATGCAGCTGTGGTTCATCTTCTGGAACGTAATGGTGGGGTGTCCCCTGGGGTTTGGTGGGGTGTGGAGGTGGGTCCTGGTGGAAGACCCCAGAGCTGGGTGTGTCCTTTGCAAGAACTTCTCTAAGGGCTGCTGGGTCCCTTCTCAGCAGGGGCCCCTGTGCCTGGAGTAAGGGACTTTAACTGCAGGTAGGGAGGGACCCCCAACCCACCCAGGAGGCTGGCCACCTCCCATGGGGATTACCAGGGGACTGGGAGTCAGGGGACCTCTGATCCTGTGACCTGGGACCCTGTGCAGGTGGCTGCACCCCTGGGCCTCCTTTCCCGACCTGTGCAGGGGTCCCCTCCCTGCTTCCTCCCCGTAGGAAGGTGGTGCTCCTGGGAACAGCTTCAGAGACCGCCAGGTGCCAGGAGGGATCAGGAACAATCCAGTCCCCGCCCATGACGGTGGGAGGAGCCACACGAGTGAGAGGAAGGGCCCTGGCAGGGTCTGGGGGCCCCACCTTGCCCGTCTCCCATCCTCAGGCCCTCCTGGGGGGAGGGGCGGCCAAGTGCAGGGGCTGGGGGTCCCCAGGGCAGCGGCCTTCTTTGTCCTGGAGACAGGCACAGAGGCAGGGAGAGCCGAGGGGACAGATGAGACAGAGACAAAGAAACACAGAGATAATCAGAGACAGGGTCTGGCTGGAGGACAGAGAGGGGGAGAGAAAAGAGAGACAGACAGACAGACAAAGAAAAAGCGAGGCCGGCCGAGAGCGGAGGAAAACTGGAGGCTGAAGAGCGGCGCAGACGGAGGGGCGGG